CAGACAAGTGCAAGAGTTTGCTTCTGTGAGTCCCTGGGCCTGGAATGCTCTCAACACACACACAAATCTTTGGTACCTGGCAAGATTTTACCTTGTCTTTCTTTTTTTAAAAAATAGTAACATTTATCTTTGACTGTGCTGGGTCTTCGTTGCTGTGCAGGCTTTTCTTCAGCTGTGAGCTGGGGCAACTCTCTAGTCATGGGGCAGAGGCTTCCCGGTGGTAGCTCCCCTTGTCGGGGAGCACGGGCTCTCGGGCACACGGGCTTCGGTAGTTGTGGCGCACGGGCTCTAGAGCTCAGGCTCAGTACTTGTGGCACCTGGGCTTAGTTGCTCTGAGGAACTCAGGTCTTCCTGGATCAGGGATTGAACCCACATCTCCTGCCCTGGCAGGTGGATTCTTTACCACTGAGCCACCAGGCAAGTCTCAGATTTTACCTTTTCTAAAAGGTCCAGCTGAAGCTCTGTGATGAGGTCCTTCCTTGCCAAGTCAGAATCACACTTCCCTGCCTAGACCCATCCAGGCCGCTTTTAGACCAAACCCTGCTGGGCTGTTGGCTGGGACGTTCTCTATCCTGGCTGCCGTGTGAGAACAGAGCTGAAGCCGAGCAAAAAGAAACAGAAGACTAGTTCCGATGCCCAAGGTGTCTGGGTGCTTCCGGGGCCTGGCTGTCGGGGACGTGGGTTTCCGGTTCTGTGCAGAAGGCAGCCTCCTCATGGGCACTGAGACTTTCCATGCCAGGGTCCCTGCCTCTCCTTGTTCTGCTCTCCAGACTGCTGGAAAGGGTGTAGTCTACAGGATCACGCCCCTCCCACCACCAAAGATGTCCATATCCTAATGTTTGGAGCATGTGAATGTATTACCTTACATGGCCAAGGGGCATTAAGGTTGTAGGTGCAACTGCTCATCAGCAGACTTTCAATGGGACATCATCCTGGGTCATCCCATTCAGTGGAATCACAAGGGTCCTTAAAAACAGAAGAAAGCAGAAGAGAGTCAGAGCGAAAAGGCCACCAAGGAAGACTGGTGAGATGCAACGTTGCAGGCTTTAAAGATGGAGGAAGGGGCCCACAAGCCAAGGAACATGGGTGGTCTCGGGCGGCTGGTGCAGACACCTTGTTTTTTTAGCCCAGTGAGACCCACTTCAGACTCCTATCCTACAGAACTTTAAGGAAATGAATTCTGTTTATTCTTTAAGCTGCTAAATTTATGGGAATTTGTTAAAGCAACAATAGGAAACTGATACACAGGCTCACCCATAGGCGTCAGTGCTTGAACCAGTGACATCTGTGTGATCACTTTCCGGACCACAGATGGGAACCAAACAACCTGGACTCAAGCTGGGCCTCTGACCCCCACAGGCCATGTCGACCTTGGGCCAGTCCAGGCTTCTCATCTAACCCTGGGGCACTGCGCAGCAGCACTTACTGAGTTTATAGAAGTAGAGCAAATGCGTGTAGAGGGCTTAGCTTGGTGCCAGCTGAGACCTAGTCCCCTGTGAGTGGCTGCCATCCTGCAGGCAATTGGCAAGGCCCTTCTGGCACTACTAAGTTCTTGGAGAAGCAGCAAGTAGGGAGGTGACCTCAGGCCTGGGAGCCTGACACCTGCATCCTGAACTCATCTTGCTGAACTTTTTTGGGAAAGGCGCAGGCCTTGCTGGTGGTCCTGGAGTGTTGGGGGCCCTCAGCCCTTCCTTCGGTCCCCTGGCTTCTGATTTACTCTCTGCCCGCAGGTCTCCCTCTGATCCACTCGGGCACCGCAGTGGTGCCAACTGCATCTGCAGGAGGCTTCGGTGCTCCTCCTCACAGCCCTGTGAAGAGTTATTGCCACACTCAGGGCCAGAGAGGCCTGGGTCTATAAGCAGTCAGACCTGAGCACTGACTTCTTAATTTACAGCTCAAGAAGCAAGTCACAGGGGGCCAGTGTAGCCCAGTAAGAAAGAGCAAAGTTGGTACTAAAATCTTCTTAGAAACCCTGGCTCTTTGTTCCAGGTTATAAAAATATCCACTATGGGGAGTTCCCTGGAAGTCCATCAGTTCAGTTCAGTTCAGTTCAGTTCAGTCGCTCAGTCGTGTCCAACTCTTTGCGACCCCATGGACTGCAGCACACCAGGCTTCCCTCTCTGTCACCAACTCCCAGAGCTTGCTCAAACTCATGTCCATCCAGTCGGTGATGCCATGCAACCATCTCATCCTGTCATCCCCTTCTCCTCCTGCCTTCAACCTTTCCCGACATCAGGGTCTTTTCCAATGAGTCAGTTCTTCCCATCAGGTGGCCAAAGGATTGGACCTTCAGCTTCAACATCAGTCCTTCCAATGAATATTCAGGACTGATTTCCTTTAGGAAGGACTGGTTGGATCTCCTTGCAGTCCAAGAGACTCTCAAGAGTCTTCTCCAACACCACAGTTCAAAAGCATCAATTCTTCGGCACTCGAGCTTTCTTTATAGTCCAACTCACACATCTGTATATGACTACTGGAAAAACCATAGGTTTGACTAGACCGACGTTTGTCAGCGAGGCAATGTCTCTGCTTTTTAATATGCTGTCTAGGTTTGTCATAGCTTTTCTTCCGAGGAGCAAGCGTCTTTTAATTTCCTGGCTGCAGTCAGTCACCACCTGCAGTGATTTTGAAGCCCAAGAAAATAAAGTCTGTCACTGTTTCCATTGTTTCCCCATCTATTTGCTTTGAAGTGATGGACTTCCGTCAAGGCTGTATATTGTCACCCTGCTTATTTAACTTATATGCAGAGTGAAGTGAAGTGAAATCGCTTAGTCATGTCCGACTCTTTGCAACCCCACGGACTGTAGCCTACCACCCTCCTCCATCCATAGGATTTTCCAGCCAAGAGTACTGGAGTAGGTTGCCATTTCCTTCTCCAGAGGATCTTCCCCACCCAGGGATCGAACCCTGGACTCCCACGTTGTAGGCAGACGCTTTACTGTCTGAGACACCAGGGAAGTCCTACATGTAGAGTACATCATGCAAAATGCTGGGCTGGATGAAGCACAAGTTGGAATCAAGATTGCCGAGAAATATCAGTAACCTCAGATACACAGATGACACCACCCTTATGGCAGAAAACGAAAAAGAACTAAAGAGCCTCTTGATAAAAGTGAAAGAAAAAGTTGGCTTACAACTCAACATTCAGAGAATGAAGATCATGGCATCCGGTCCCATCACTTCATGGCAAATAGATGGGAAACAATGGAAATAGTGACAGACTTTATTTTCTTGGGCTCCAAAATCACCCATTCCAGTATTCTTGCCGAGAGAATCCTGTGGACAGAGGAGCCTGGTGGGCTGTTGTCCATAGGGTCGTGTAGAGTCGGACACGACTGAAGCGACTTAGCATGCATGCATGCATTGGAGAAGGAAATGGCAACCCACTCCAGTATTCTTGCCTGGAGAATCCCAGGGACAGAGGAGCCTGGTGGGCTGCCATCTATGGGGTCGCACAGAGTCGGACACGACTGAAGCGACTTAGCAGCAGCAGCCAAAATCATTGCAGGTGGTGACTGCAGCCAGGGAATTAAAAGACGCTTGCTCCTCGGAAGAAAAGCTATGACAAACCTAGACAGCATATTAAAAAGCAGAGACATTGCCTCGCTGACAAACGTCGGTCTAGTCAAACCTATGGTTTTTCCAGTAGTCATATACAGATGTGTGAGTTGGACTATAAAGAAAGCTCGAGTGCCGAAGAATTGATGCTTTTGAACTGTGGTGTTGGAGAAGACTCTTGAGAGTCTCTTGGACTGCAAGGAGATCCAACCAGTCCTTCCTAAAGGAAATCAGTCCTGAATATTCATTGGAAGGACTGATGTTGAAGCTGAAGGTCCAATCCTTTGGCCACCTGATGGGAAGAACTGACTCATTGGAAAAGACCCTGATGTCGGGAAAGGTTGAAGGCAGGAGGAGAAGGGGATGACAGGATGAGATGGTTGCATGGCATCACCGACTGGATGGACATGAGTTTGAGCAAGCTCTGGGAGTTGGTGACGGAGAGGGAAGCCTGGTGTGCTGCAGTCCATGGGGTCGCAAAGAGTTGGACACGACTGAGCGACTGAACTGAACTGGAAGTCCAGTGGTCAGGACTCTGCACTTTCACCACCGTGAGCCCAGAGTTCAATCCCTGGTCTGGGAACTAAGACCCCACAAGCCCTGGTCAAAAACAAGCCAAAAAAAAAAAAAAAAAAACCCTATCATATTTTAAAATAATAAAATGTTATAGAAAGATATTAACATGTTTATGTTTAAAAAAATAACATAACTTCATCCTTAGAGTCTTTGTAAAAAAAATAGGAAAAATATAAAGAAAAACATCATCCCAATTCTTACACCGAGAACGCCACTTGGAACTCTCATTTTCTGTCTTCAAATTCCAGGACTTCTATCCTTGCCTCCCGAGTTGGTCTAGATTCGGTTCCAGCCGCGGCCCCGCCCGCCCCTGGGGCTAAGAGGCAGAGGCTCAGCGGCCTGGGTAATAGTCGCTCAACCGGACCTACCCGTTCGCTTCACCTCCCCCCGGGCGGCGGGGACGCGCGGCTCCCGGGGACTGCGGGTAGGGTGGGGCCTGGGTGACCGATGAGGAGTTAACGCCCGCCTCTGTGCACTCTGCTGGAGGGGCGGAGACGGAGACAGGGTCGGAGGCCAGAGGCGTCTCCCACCAGGAAGTTGGAGGTTGCCAGATTCCAGCACCGTGGGGAGGCGCACGGCGGGCGCGCGACCGTTCGTGAGCCGGACTCCAGCGCTGTGCGACTCGGCTGGCTGGGCGGGGCGCGCACGTGTGTTTACGAGTGCGGGGGCCTGTCTGCGGCCGGACTACAAGTTCCAGGGTGCCCAGCGGCGCGCCTGGGTTTTCTGGCCGCGCGGCCCGCTGACTCCTAGGCAGGTCGCCTCGGGCTGGCACGCGCCACCCGGTCCCCAAGTAAATAAGGGAGAGACTCCCTGAGCACGGTAAATAGAGTCTAAGTGGGCGGGGAGCCGCCCCGCGCCGCCTGCTCATGTTTCTACAGAGCCGAGTGTCCCGCCTCCTGGCACAGCTGCGCGCGGCGGGGCAGCTGCTCGGCGACCCGCGCCCCTGGCCCGGCCCCTCGGCGGGTGCCACGAGGGCCCGCAGTAGTGCGTGCGGTCCCCCGGCGTCCCTGAGCGCGCACGACCCGCGCGCGCGGACCTCAGCGGGAGTTGGGGATTGGGGGGCGGCGCCGGTGGGGCGGAGAGCCGGGGTGCGCACCTGGGCCCCCCTGGCCATGGCGGCGAAGGTGGACCTGAGCACCTCCACCGACTGGAAGGAGGCAAAATGTAAGTGTAAGCAGGAGGGGGGCGCGAGGGCGGCCCTCCGTGGGCATTCTCCGGCTGGACAGCACCCCTCTAGCCGCCCCGTCCACCCCAGAGAACTGGGGAAGTTAAGGTCCCTTGTGCCTGGTTTGGACCCCCCCCCCCCATTAACAGCCACGCCCCCCATGTGCCCAGCCCCGGAAACTACTTCCCTAGGACCAGATCCAGGGCCCCAGTCGGAGGCAGTGTGAGGAGGGTGGCCTCACCCCACTGAAAGGGGTCGCGGGGCTCCCGCAGAGAGCACCCAGGACCTCGCACCTAAATCTATTGTGCAGGAGGGAAACTGAGGCCCGGCGCCTGCGCCGAGTAGCCCAAGGTCACTTGAAGTTTGCTTCGGATCTCACAGTAGGCTCTCAACTCCCCCGGCTTTGCAATACTGTGGTTTCTCAAGTGGTGACATTTTAGACAGAGTGGCAGGGAATGGGCTTTGGGGCTGGCATCCCACCTGGTGGGATCAAATAGCCACAAGGAACGGGCCGGTCACACCTCCCCCACCATGTCCCCCGGGGCCTTCCTCTCTGGGCACGTGGTCTGGTGCCCTTTAGCCCTTATCGTTGGCCTCTGGACACTTGTGAGCTGTCTCTGCCTCATTCCTGGGGTACACAGGGTGGAGGAGGGGGGCGGGGCAGGGCCGAGAGGGGATGTTGTGTCTGTGAGAACAGTGACACCCCTGCTTCCCACACCTAGGAATCAAGCCATTTCCCTCCGGCTGGGGCGGCGGGGTGTCGGGGGCGGGGGTGGCGCGGGCCATGAGTCCTGGTGGGCATGAGTCCCAGGGCTGGACTCTGGGCCAGAACAGAGGAGGGAAGGCAGGCAACCTGACCTGCGGAGCCTGAAATAGCCCCGGCTGCCAGTCCAGCTGCCCCTGCCCTTCAGGGCATGCTCCCTGGCCTCTTGTGACCATTCCCGGCTGGATCGCCTTTCAAAAGGGCAGGGACGGCAGCTCATTGGCTGGAACTTGCGGTGGCGAGAGTTCAGCCAATGGGGCTGGGGAGGCAGGCCTGGGGCGGGCCGTGATTGAGGGTTAGGGGAGGTGTCCTCTGGGATTGGAGGTAGAGTTCAAGATGAGCTACTCCTGTCGTGAGTTGCAATGCCTTCTCTGGGATCTAAAAGCACCAGCCGGAAGCACTTGACTTTGCTCCCGGGGCAAAAGGAGTGCTCGTCACCCCTTCAAGCCCTGGCCCCCGACCATCCAGGGTCAGGGTGGGGAGTGGGGGGTGGCTCCCTGGCATGGGGACTGTCCCCACAGGGAACCCTGATTTCCCTTCTTCGTCAGAGAACAGCATCCCAGGGTGGTGGGAAGGAGAGCTTGGAAGGCAGGAGGCCCAGACACCTGTTCCTGTGTCTGCTGCTCTCCGCCTCTCTCGCCCCTCCCGCTCCTTGCTGGCGCTGAAAACTTCCAGACCTCTTGAAGCTGACGGGCCAGGAATTCCCAGGCTGCTGTGGTGTCTGTTTGCTGGGATCTGGGGTTTCCATTCATTCGGCCCGTTTTTATCTAGCCAGCACTGCCGTGCTGGGGAGACTGGCGGGGACCCTCCCCTCACGGAGCTCAGGTGAAGAAGCAGTGCGGGCTGTGGTTAGGGCAATGAGACTATGCCCAGTGAAGGTCGGTGCTTGAAGAAGCTGTGATGGGCAGGGCTGCTCAAGCTCCCCTGTTAGTAGGCAGGGGCAGTGTGGGAGGGTGGGCTTGCCCCAGGAACCCCAGACCTAGGTGGAAGCCCCACCCCACCAGTAGCCGGTAGGTGGTAGTTTGTGGGGGTGACACAGAAAGATCCGTGTTTTAGTTATCTATCGCGGCTTAGTAACAGACTACCCGGACACTTAGTTGCTTGAAACAGCAAACGTGTGTATTCTCTCTCAGTCCTGAGGGGTCGGGAAGCTGGGAGTAGCTTAGCTGGGTGCCAGGCTCAGGGTTTCCCGGGAGGCTGGCGGGAGTTTGGTGAAAGGTGGAGAGGGCCCTTCCCAGGTGGCTGGCTCCTGTGAAGTGGCTGCTGGCTTAAAGCCCTCATCCGGTCCGCCTTCAAGGGGAGGGAAATTAGTTTCCACCTTTGGAAGGGAAGAAGATCAAAGAATTTGGGGCATGTTTTTAAAACCACCACACCGGGAGACTGCCTCAAGTGGCTTCTGCCTCTGATTAGGGTCCAAGCTTTGATCTTTTATTTATTTATTTGACCACGCTGCTCAACTTGCAAGATCTCAGTTGCACAACTAGGGATTGAACCCAGGCCATGGTAGTGAAAGTCCAGAATCCTAACCAATAGGCCACCAGGGAACTCCCGAAGAAGCTTTGATCCTGGAAGATCCCCACACTATTTCTTCATTCCATTCCATGTACATGTTCAGCTCAGTTATATTGTACAGCAAAGTACATCAAGTGTACAGACCTTAAGTATACAGTCAGTGTACGGTTGGGTTTTTTTTTTTTTTTTGGTGCACTCTTTATTTTTTGGCTGCATGGCTTGTGAGATTTTAGTTCCCTGACCAGGGATTGAACCTGGGTCCAGGGCAGTGAAAGAGCCGGGTCTTAACCACTGGTGTGTGTATGTGTTAAGTTGCTCAGTCGTGTCTGACTCTTTGCGACCCCATGGACTTTAGCCCGCCAGGCTCCTCTGTCCATGATGATGCTCCAGGCAAAAATACTGGAGTGGGTTGCCATGCCCTCCTCCGGGGGATCTTCCTGACCCAGGAACCAAACCCACATCTCCTGTAGCTCCTGCACTGCAGGCAGATTCTTTACCGCTGAGCTGCTGGGAAAGCCCCCTCGCCACTGGACTGCCAGGGAATTCCTACAATCAGTGTACTTTTACGTAGGTATCCAGCTATGCAACCGCTTCTCTGGTCAATAGGTAGAACATTACCATTGCCCCACAAGGTTCCTTAGAGCCTTTTTCCACTCAGTACCCCTTACAGCTAATCTTTCTTCTATCTCTTCATTTTGTTTTCTTTTGAACTTTGTATCACTAGAGGCATACACACAGTGTGTACAGCTTCAATGTCTGTGTGATTCGTCCACATTGTTGGCTGTACCAGCAGTTCGCTCTTTCTTATTGCTGGGTGATATTCCATGATGTGCCACAGTTTGTATGTGCAGTCTCCTTGTTGATGGCCATTTGGTTTCCAGTTTGGGACATTTGAGAATAAAGCTGCTCTGAAGATCCTTGCACGTGTCTTTGATGGACACCTGCTTGCCTTTCTGTTGGGGATGCCATGCCTATGTAGTTTAGCCACTACATAGGTGGCTAAACGCTTGTCCGTGCCTGAGATGATCCTCTCTCAAAGACTGGCACATAGTAACCAAACTCACTGTAGACTAATGTATAGTTCAGAGGGTTGAAGTGCAGTTCATGGTGGGAAGTATAATAGCAGCGGATCTGGAAACTCATGTGCGCCTGGGCAGGGCCTCCTCTCCCTGTGGAAAAGCCATTGTTGTTGCTAAGTCATGTCTGACTTTTTGCAACCCCATGGACTGCAGCATGTCAGGCTTCCCTGTTCATCACTGTCACCTGGAGTTTGCTCAAATTCATGTCCCTTGAGTTGGCGATGCTATCTAACTATCTCATCCTCTGCCACCCTCTTCTCCTCCTGCCCTCAATCATTCCCAGCATCAGTGTCTTTTCCAGTGAGTTGGCTCTGGAACTCACTGGAATTAATCATCAGGTGGCCAAAGCTGAGCTTCAGCTTCAGCATCCGTCCTCCCAATGAATATCCAGGTTTGATTTCCTTTAGGATTGACTGGTTTGATCTCCTTGAAATCCAAAGGATTCTCAAGAGTCTTCTCCAGCACCACAATGTTAGAAGCCAAGTTGTAGTCTTAAGTTTGTTCAGCAGCATGTGTTCTCAACTAGGGAGATGGTTGAATGATTTGGAAGCTGATCCTGCTGTCCTGAGCACACCTACCTACCTTCCTTGGGCAGTTGCTCAGTGTTTCAGTCCAAATGCAGTGCTGAGTGCCTGCTCTGGACCCCAAATGCAACAGCCTCAGTTCATGGCCCAATGGGTCCTCTGGACAGATGGCCATATTCTGCCTGGGTTCTGTGCATTTCTTTGTTCTGGCTTAGGCTGACAGCCCACTTGTATGGACCTGTTTTCTCTCTAGGTAAGTAAATACCATCAGGCTGGATCTTCCTGCCCAGGAGACATTCCGCCTCTTTGAGAGACCTCTGCAATATCGAATTTCACTGGCCAGGGGTTAATTCCTTTAGCTTAATTCCCTCAGTTCTAGGTTGCCTCATTACCCCCACCCCAGGTTATGCCTTTTCATCAGAAAGAGTGTGGAAACAGTCCCTCTGTAAGGTGTTGTGGGTGTGAGGGGCCTTAAGGCCAGGCCCCGGGGGCTTTGTCACCACAGGAGGGGCCTGGCCTCCAGAGGAAGAGCAGGTCCCTTCTGGCCTGCAGTAGGGGCAGAGCTGTGTGCTAAAAAGAGAATGGACATTGGTGTCATCAGACATGGCAAGCCCCAGCATCACTGCTTCCATGTTCCCTGAGCCTCAGTTTCCTCATCTGTTAAGTGGGACCAACAGCACCCGATTTGTAAGTTGTTCTAGGATCACGTTAGAAACCGTTTTGTACACAGCAGCCAAAGGGTCCCCAGCAGCCCCCCTTCCTTGTCACCCCTCAGGTCTGTCTCCTCTCTGCTCTGTTCTGGCCCTGGCGACACTGGGCTTATGTAAACTTGCCTCCGCCGCAGTCTAGAGCCCTGACCCGCTCCCTCTCCCTGGGGGCTCAGGATAGGGCCCATATATTCTAGCTTGTCTGCACAGGGCAGGGCGAAGACTGATTTCAACCCCTGTGGGCTTTCACACAGATCGGATGATTTATCTGATTTGACTGCTGAACTGGGAACGTTTCCAGGCACACCTGGGAATTGGGGGGCTTCTCCCACCTGCTTTCTGGGAAAACAGCCTTGGCACAGCCCCGTGCAGGGGATGGAGGGGGGCCTGGGAGGGTGGAAAAGCTCCAGGGTG